TGGTGATTATGTGACATGATTTATGTGGTCCATACTTGCCGGACGGCGTGTTTGGATTCGGAAAATCTCTCTTTGCTTGTTTATTTTGACTTAAACTTTTATCTAGTTAAACGGAGTTATAACATCTCTAACGGTGTTTTAATTGTAGAATTGTAGAGACAGTGCCATATAAAACTTCTGTAATGGTGGATTTTTTTTATTTTGGATTGCGATGATGTGAGATGAAAGAGACAATAAATCTAAAACTCTTTTTACGTGTGCAAGTTTTGTTAGTGTGAAAGTTTTGTTAGACTTGATGACTCGTCTTTTTTTCTCCCATTTTTTTAAATTAAATTATATAATCATAGTTTGTTGGTATTTATTTGTACACATTTATCAAAAAATATATTAATTGAGGTAATGATTAATAATAAAAGAAAAAGATCGATACATTCATATATGGGATAACGTATCGAGTCGACTAGACCCGAGAAATAGTATGACCGTATCGATGAACAAGGAAGTCGAACGTAGATCAAAGGCATTACAGGTAGAGGAAGCCTCAAGTACGATGGGGGCGTCGTTTATCTAATGAACATCGACAGGTCGATAGTAGGACACTCTGATAGCCTGATTGAAATTCGACCTGAATGCACGGGGGGTCGAAGGATCGACCAGAGGAGCAGAGCGTACAAGCTCGATACCATTGTTACTTTGGTCGGTAGCACCATTAGACCGCCTAACAAAGAAGACTAAATGATAAGAATGAATATTATTAGGATAAGATCCCCATGTGTGTAGGTTCACGTAGCTTAACAGAATTGGGTAGTTCGGGCAGTCTGAGCAGCCCACTCGCGCTGTCTTAAGCAATAAGCTATCCTCTCCCTATATAAGGGAGTGAAGTATGTCTATTGTTACATTACATTCTCTACATACATACAACACATCATCTTCTTAACTGTTAACTTAAGCATCGGAGGCTATTCATCGGAAAACCCCTCTGATGTGAGTTTTTGTAGGTCTCAAGGACGTTCTACCAACGAGGAACTCAAAGCAGGCCGAATCTAAGTCGGTCGAGGGTCTTTGTGTACCATTTGGCGCCGTATGTGGGAACGAGATTCCATGGCTAACGAATTTGATAAGCACGATTTGATAACTAGCTGGGAAGATAAAGTTTTGATCTTAATAATAATAACCCCGCTCCATCACCAACTTAATATGTATGATACATGTATATATGTAAAGAGGGACAAAGAATTTAATGCACAAAAAATCGTTTTCAGCTCTTTTCTTAATGTTAATTATGTAAGAAAAATTGGTTTTGTAACGCTTTTACGGTTTCATTTTTTGTAAGTGGAAGACTTAAGAAATTTTCAAAACCACTTTAAGGTGAATGAGAAAATAATTCTGAGATGTATATGTGTGAAATGCAAGGTTGAAACAATGAGTTTAAGTAACTCAAATTATTGAATTTGTAAAACATTATGTCTTTGAAAAATGTTTATATAATCCAAACGAGACCTGATCATGCAGGTTGCATGATATAACTCTTTAAGGGTTCGTTAGGGACGAGTAAAAAAAAACGAAACTCGATTCCGAGTTCGTATGAGCTCGTACGAGCCCGCGGCGCACGGACGCGCAGCTGGCTGCGGACACCGAAAGGTCACAACCCTTGGTGACTATAGGGTGTCTTTTAGCATCTAGATGTGTCCATTCTCATTCGGGTACATCCTAAAAGGTATGTTTTGGCACTTAACCTTTTGGAGGTGTTTTTTCTACATCTATAAATGTCCACATACTTGAAATTATTCATAACTTGAAATTAGAGAGCTCTTGCATTATTTTTCAAAGATAATATAGCATATTGTGTTCTATGATATTTTCATTGAGTCTTGACAGTTCCAACAATAGTAGTGTTCGTCGAAGGCTTTGTATATTTGAAATATCGGTACATACAAGCCGAAAGTCATTGTATCTTGGAGGCGTTTGCCGTTAACCGTTGGTGTTTTACGGGGCAATTTCGTCTTAAGGAAAACGTAATTATTACGTGCCTCAACTTTTATTTTTGTTTTGTTTTCTTTATTCTCCTTAAACCTTCTTTTTGATATTGACAAACCACACAAAATACAAATTATGATTAAAAACCATTAAATTTTATATTAATGAGTAATAATTGTATTCTTTTTAACTATTTTATCATATAATGGTTATTATTAAAACTAACTAATTATATTTTACTCTAAATGCTATATATAAAAGTTACATAAATTATAAAAAAAGTATCTCGTAAAATTTTTCTTCAATTTATTTATCCCAAAATCATTATTATTATTTTTCTTAAATATCATTAAGCATTTTTTTTTTAAGAAAACTAATTGGTTTTAATAGTATAGTGAAACCTCTTAAATAAAAAATTACTAATTCTTTTCTTGGTATAGCGAAAAACCTAACTCGGCCGCCGCTTATCTCAACTTCGATCCGCCTTTCTTGGTGATGCCGGTGCTTGGCCAGCGGTCGTCCCTGACCTCTCGGCCGGTCCTAGATGTCGTGAGCCTTGAGGTTGCTGCGGTTCTATTGAGTGGTCTCCGATGTCAGCCGCCTGCGTATCAGAGTCCCCTTGGCCGAATTTCGGTTGTCGTTGGGTGGTTCCCTCCCAGTCGTCGGCGGATGTCCGATTGGTGGTGGTATGCTTTCTTATTTCTCTGTTTCTGTTTGCGACTGACGGAGGTAGGCCAAAACCCGATTGGCGATTATGCTCTCTCCGAAGGGTCCTGTGGTGGAGTGGTGGTCGGTCGTCGTTGGGTTTCTGCAGTGGTGCTCGGTGGTGTATGGTGTTGAGGATTGGGCGAGGCTCCGGCTGCTGCGACGTTTTCCGGTTGCGGTGGATGGGGTTGAGGATCTGAGCCACCTCTAGCCCCACTGTTTGGCTAGTGGTGTTAGGCAACGGGGATTAGGTCTAGTGGTGTTAGACGAGTTCGGTGGGGCTTGGTTGGGGGCCGGTCGGGATTCTCTAGGTTAGAGATGGGTCGATTCGGGATTGTCTCGGGGATTGAGTTCACCTGCTGTATAGGCGTTCGTGCAGTTTCGGTAGCGGTACTCGGACTCGAGGTTCTCTTTGTGTTGGTCTGTCACTGCTGGTTGAGATCAGTTCAGGTCGCTGGGGAAGGGCTCTTGTTTGTTTATTATTGCATTTTTCTGTTGTTTATCTGTTTTTTTCTCTTAGTTTGTTTGTTTTTTGGCTTGTGGTTTTTTGTTGTTGTGTGTTAGGTTTGTCCTTGTGTGCTCGAGTGCAACTTAATTCTCCTGTTGGGAGCGCACTCGAGTATTCTCCTGTTGGGAGGGGTCTCTTTCTTAGTTGTTGTCTTGTAGTAGTTTCGTTTGTGTGTTGTGGTGGTTGGTTTTCTCGCGTTGCGAGCAGTATTCCGTTTAGGTTGCATTGGTAATATTGTAACCTCTCAGTTACCCAGGATTCGGGCTTTGCTCGTGTACATTGTCATTTGACGCTTTTTAATGAAAATTTAATGTCGCTGGAAAAAAAAAAAAAACCCTCTTAAATCGCATAAGCAGATGATATAATAGTAAATCTAATATATTTTTCAGCTAATTACTTGATCATGACCTTCAAAATTATAAACATTACATTATTCACAAAACTTTATCCAATGGATATAATAATTGGTATGCAGTTAAATAATTTTTTATTGTTCATTTTAACTAATGTTCAAGATTTTAAAATATAATATCATTATTACATAATTTATAACTTTATGTGCATACATATAGCTTATCAAATAACTAGTTAACCAATATAAGTTGGCTCAAGTTGTAAGCATCTTGATGTTCTTTAAGTAAGGTTTCGGGTTCGAGTCCTTGTGTTGGGAGACTCATCCACTGCTGTCAGGTGTGCGACCCGGGTCGACCAACGAATTAGTCGGGACATGTTCACAAATGCGCCGGCGCGTCTGGATAGGATATACCTTACCCACGCTAAAAGGTTCCTGCTTTTTGTGTTGTGCGGTGGTTTTTGAACCTTAGATTTTTCTTGTCCAATTCAATCGTTCATCGGTGTCCGAAAGGCCTTAGGACGAGAAAACATGGGAGGATCTGTTCTGTATCCCAATCCCCCTCTTAACTTCCCATCTGTATTCAGCAGACCCCATTTGAGAAAACCCATTTTTTCTCCTAAAGGTACAATCTTTAGTCCTACTCTTCTGATTTACGCACAAAAATTCATCTTTTATCTTGCTCGTCTTTTAGATTTTATCCTGTATTTTTTGTCTGTTCATATTTTGTTCGTTTTGCTATCACAAATCTGAGGTTTATGTCCTGAATCTGATTGTTTGAAGCAAGTGTGTGTGTGTGTGTGTGTGTGTGTGTTCTTGATATGGGCTTTAATCTCTTCCCTTTCTCCCTTTTTTTTTTTCCTTTTTTTTTTATGTTCGAGGGTTCAATTTTTCAGTTTAGTTTTGCAGTTCCTGGAAAATCCCTTGTGCAAATGCACCTGGATTATTGTTCATTGTTGAAATTCACCTTAGAATTTTGGTGGGCTCGAGCCGAGCTCGAGCATTTTGATTTCGAGTCGAGCTCGAGCCGAGTCGAGCTATTGTAATTTTTTATTGAGTCGAGCTCAAGCTCAAGCTCGAATAGCTAAAAAAAACTCAATCCTGCTCATGCTCGACTCGGCTCGGCTCGGCTCGTTTGCAGCCTACTGGTGGCAGTTTAACCCCCCCCAAATACAAATCTATGCAAGAATTATCTTTTGGGAAGCTCAATTAAATCTATTTTAATATGTAGTGACTAACTAAACTGTTGAATCTTATTTCAATCACCATGGTTTGTGGGGTGTTTTAACTTTAAACCTTTTGCTACACTATGAACAAACAAAGACATTAGTTAGCACTAAAAAATGAACATTTTTTTTTTCTTCCTTACATCACAAAAGCTGAGGGTATGACAATTTCTTGATGCAGCTTGTTGAATTTGGCAGAAATTCAGATTAGGCTGCCTTCTGTGAGAGCCGTTAATGGAAACAGTGAAAAGCCTCGTCAAACGAACACCTCTAATGGAAGCGCGCGTAAAGTTGAGGATAATAATGTTAAATCTCAATCGTTTGATGATGGTACATTATCTTCATCTTTGTCACCTAATAAAGAGCAAATCCTTACTCTCTTTGAGCATATACAGTCTTCTATAGCTAAAGGCGAGACCCAGAAATCGAAATCCCGCAAGAAAAAATCTAAACGTACTGCTTATAGTAATGATAATAATATGATGTCGGCCGAGTCCATACTAGAGGTCCTTTTCCAGTCAAGAACCCAGGAAAAAGGTACCCTTTTTTTATTTATTCATTTTTTTCTTCAGATGATGTAATTATTATCATTCGAAATGATTCGAGTTTTGAAAGATGCACGTATATTTGAAGTTTTTGGTGCTGTAAAAAAGTGATTGGAATATGTAGACGCAAAATTCATAAGACTCTTTGGATTAAAAAGAAAAAGATGATAAATGTGAACCTTCAAAATCGACACGGATAGCTACAAACCAAAAAAAAAAAAAAAAAAACGAACCTTCACACTAAAAAGAAAAAGATGCACGTATATTTGAATTCTGTTATGATTTGGTGAACATGTAAATCTCACTTTCTTAAATCTTAGGTATCAACTATAAGGTTAATTACCCTTTTGAAACATGTGAGTTATAGAAGATAAATTGTGTTTGTTAATTAATCCGTCATCTTTATTGGTCTGAACTTAGTTCATTTTTTGCTCCCTGGCAGAAAAAAATATGGTGAACAAAGGGGATGATAAATTAGTAGGCCTGCAGAAGGATTCTCCACAGAAAGAGAAGGAAACTACTGAACTTAAATCGATAAGGCCCCCTTCACAATTCACTCGAAGATCTCCAATACCTCGTCCATCAAGCCCAAGATTCGAAGTTGGGGTCATAAGTGGAAGATTCGTATCAACAGACAATGAAGATAGCAAGAAAGTAGACAAATTTGAAGAAATGAAATCGATCCCAAAATACAAAGTTGGGTCAGTAAACGGAAGATTCGTATCGACAGACAAGGAAGAAGATAGCAAGGAAGTGGAGAAATTCGAAGAAATGAAACTCGCTGAATTGAAAGAGGTTGCAAAGTCTAAAGGGATCAAGGGTTTCTCGAAAATGAAAAAGAGTGAGCTTTTGGAGCTCCTTATTAGCAACGGTGCTTGATTTTCGGTTTGTTG